TAATATCTTTCATTATTTCAGTATCAAATAACCGTGATGTTCCATAATAAAGAAGTAGATAGTGACTGTCTTTATTTAATTTCTCGAAAATTTCTTATGTGTTGAATTGTTTACACTTATTTTAATAGTTTGGTTCGTGTACCAATAGATGGTGGGGGTACAGCATGGTGAAAGTCTGCCAATGAAAGCAATTAACACAACAACAGTAATCTAGAGTGTTTAAATCTCCTACTAACCAAACCACACGTGTATGTTATACCATACATCCAATTGCATACTTAGTTTTCAGCATGGAAACATTCGTGAAGACAATTTAATCACCTTATCCCGAAATAATAATAATAAAATGAATATTGGAAAGAAAATGGTGTTAAAATGGGGAAAAAAATATATTTCCAGTAAAAAAAAAACTGCGTCAAAATGTTCTCGAGACAGCCGACTTCAGCAGTGAGAAGCAAATACAGTTTATAAACAGTATTTTAATTCAATTTTTGTCACAGACAAGAAAAATAGCTATTCTTTCGTTGTGTGTGACAAAAGGTGCAGAGTTCAACTTACTAGAAAGCTCTTTTTGTGTCACATAAATCAGTTTTAAAAACAATTGATACAATTAAATGGTGGCTGAAGGATGTCTATGCTGACCAGTAGGACCCTAAACAAATTTCTCCATGATCCTCAAAAAGATTCCTACGTGGCAAAGAAAGTAAAATTGGGCCTTCGTCCACTGAAAGTACGAGAGTGAACAGGCCACAGCAGACATATAATGACTTCAAGTGGAGGTGGCTAAGACTCACACACACAAATTGTCACAATAATAAATGTCATACAAAAGCTGTTATTGGAGGGACATCAACCTATAGTCACTTTAGATATCTTACTTGCCATCCTAAAGTGTGCACACTGGAGTTATTGAATGTGATTATGCAGATTTTGTAAATGTATGCATTTTTCCCTTTTCCATTGTATTTTTTCTTGTAGTGCTTTATGTATCTATATTCTGCATGCAGTGTCTATTAACTTTGTTTATTCAGTTTAACTGGTATATATTCACGTTTTTTCGTATTATATACACACAAGTACACAATGAAGGGTTTTAATATGCATATCAATATGTTTAAACGAGGTTTCTAATTAGTACTCTGCTTACAAAGCTTTAAAGGGGTTACCATTTTATTTATTTTTTATTTTATTTTTGTATTTTTCTTAGTTTACACGATCAGCAGTTAAGTGTTATCAATTCTTTGCAGTGTTACTCTTTGTTGTACGTTTCCACCTTTTTCTGTACCTTTCCCATTCCAGGTATTATTCCATTTTTTATCTATTTGCTGTAATTTCAATGATTTTTAATTGTAAACTTTCAAGCAATGGTTTTTATATTATCTTTGCTATATATTTTAAAGGATATTTTACTTGCGTATTTTGGGTGTAATTACTAATTTTCAGAGCAGGTGTCATTATGCTTCCCTTTCAAAGGGTTTCATTTTTTTATGCAATTGTGTATTTGTTGTATGTCAGTTTTAGAGAGTTATTTTATTATATTTTATTAATGGTTTTCTGCTTAACTTGTCAACTGTTTGGTAGGCTGTGAGTGTGTTTCGGGAATACATCTATTGTAAACGTGAGTCTTGTGTATGGATGATCGTTTATTTCAATGCCATATAGTGTCATTTCGTAAAAAGTCTGACCGAGTTACAATTTTCATATGATCACACCTTTAATGATTACAACTTAATTTAATATTGGCTCGAAGCCAGATAAAAAGTGAGAAAGTTTTAGTATGGAAATACTACACATCTTACTATTCCATAGTATATATTTCTTAATTACAACGTTCTTAAATTTTTTTCTAAGTTTTTGTTATTATAACTTTAAATTAGTAGAAGTTGCATTATAAATTCATTCTGAAGAGTTACTTTTTTATGGCTTTATTAGTCTTGGATCTTATTTACCGTTTCGTGAAGTAATTGCATTGTTTTCTTCTTGACTTGAGTTTGGGGGATACTTTGCATCTATCACAAGGAATAGATACTTCTGCATCTCGGCGACCTTTTGCGATTGGTCAGCTGCACGGAGAAAGCCATTTGTAATATGAAGTTTTAGCATTTTTGAAATAAAAAAATCAACCCTACCTTTGAGAAAAATAGTTCATTCTTTTGAAGACAGCTAAAACTTGCTTGTGGGTTTCCCATCCTTGTGTCATTTTATTCCTGTTCTGATCATGCAAGTTTCTATTTAAATATTTTTTAAACTTCTTTTCCTGCCACTATCTATTAGAATAAATAAACTGCTCTTTTTATTTATCTTTACTTCAACACGTGTATTATCTTTATTCCTCCTGTTACAAATCCTTGCACTTTTCCTTCTGCACATATCAACGAACCTCTCGTTCTACAAAGATCTGGTAGCTCGGTGCTCGTATAACCTTGAATTACCACACCAGTTACAGAATCTGCATGTGAAAGTTTTTCTCGTGTTTATGAGTTATGCATTGAGTGTTCTCAATTCATTTAACATTCTCAATCAAAGTGATGCTCTTCTTTTCCACGGGCTACTTGAGAAACAGAGATAAATAAAATCAAATGTAACCAATTTCATGAATGCGAAGTATGCTAAATTGGGTAATTACATTATGACTACCGATGAAAGGAAAAAGTATTTGCATCTAAACAATGCATATCAAGATATCTCAGTAGGGTTCACCTTGACAGGCCTGAAAACAAATGATGCAAAGATGAACCATGAACTAATAGCCAAGATCTATTCACTAGCCAGAAAATTCTACAAAGAAGTCATGTGAGAGACAAAACCAAAATTCCGGTTTGATGATCCAGTCATAGAGCATGTCAAGATTTTGGAGCCTATAAATATCAAACTTTAAAGCTGAGAAGCTTAATCAACATTTAGAAATAGCTTGCTCTTCCAAATTTAACTTTGAGCTCTCCACTCTTCGTAAGTCTCACTATTTATGCCTTCCTATTGGAACTTTGAAATTTCTCAATTTACTGAATCCAATAAACAAGTTTTCCAATTCTCAAACACTACGGCTAAGTGCTTCTTCAGCATAGAAAATAATCAAAAACTGTTAAAGAAAACAAATTAGCAGCGTCAACATAAAAAAAAATAACCATCAGTGTCGTTATGGATTGAAAAGGACGCTGGATTTTCAAATGAAGAAAAAAAAATGGGATCAAATCTGTAAAAGTGAATGCCTCTGCAATTGGGTACAACCAACATCCCCTTGCTTTCGGAACATAAAACAGTTTCTATATTTTTATTTACTTATTTGTAATCCCATGGAGAATATGCAGTTTTAATTTTTCTTTACAAACATACTTTGACAGAAACTGTTTTAATGGAAAGTAAAGTTGATGTTTTGCTCATAAGATATACAGTTGCATTTAGTACAAAAAAAGAAAAAAAAGAATGACTTTACTATCTACAATTTAACTAGCTTTTTGAGTATGTTACTTTGTAATTCCATAGATATGTTGTTTTATGTTTTTCTTTGTGAGCAGAATAACCACATTTTTAAGGGAACTTTGTTTCTTTTAATACCAAGTAAAACTAGATTTTCTATAACTAGGGCGGAAAACACCTTACTGTAATATAGTGGTATTTACGAGTTAACTAACTACTTTGTAATTTTCATAAATCTTTAAGTAGATATTTTTCATATCTGATGTTAAAATTATCCAAACGAGTTTTTCTATTAGTAAAATATAATATGTTTTAAACTTATAAAGTATTTTCAGTTAACTATTGTAGCTTCAGGACTTACTTGTGAATTAAATAGTTAATATTTCAGGATATTATCAAGATTTGTCTGTACAGTGTTAGGATTTCAGAAAAGCTTGACTGTAAACACTGTTCGAATTACATCCGACTAAAATAACAAGCTACAGGTTGAGCATGTACATGTAACGTTGACACTGTGGCAACTTACATAAACCTTAGATGTTATAACGAAGCTTGGCAATGTGATTTAATCACACATGGAAAATTCAGGTTAGGAAACTTGTTTAGTTTTAATCATGTAGGGGAAATAGTTTTGAGTGTAGACTTACAGTGGTAACTGTTTGTCATAATTGTCTTGCCGTCCGAAATCGACAATAAATGTTGTCACAATGACATTATTTTTCTTCCTAATGAAATTCGATGATAAATTATGTGATAGAGTAAACTTTAAATATGAAATGTTTTAATTTCAGCCAAAGAAGTCCGATGACAGGAATGTTATTTTTAATAAATGTTCCATGATGTAGGTTCAATCATATTCGTTTAACAACTTTTTTCTCAACCTCATCGGAACCTCTTTATTTTAGTTTTACTAGTAATTTTATCAATATATCTTACATTATGTTAGTATAATACAGTAATTTTATAATAACATTAATTCACCTTGAAATAAATCGTGCTTCAATAATTTCAATATTGAAACTTAAATGTTACAAAACCACTTTGTTTATATGTAATGTATTGTACTGATAAACACGGCTTTATACGTTTAAGCCCTATGGTTAGGCTAAACATCTCATGTGCAGAAACGCCCACCCGGATATGGTTGTACATTAGGTAAACGTACAGGTGATGTAACATTTTACTACGTAAAGTCACAAGCCTTCTATTCATAGTTATACCTAACTTACCTTATTTGTGTTATTGCATAATTAGTACCCCATGTATCATTACTATTATTAGTAGGCTTAAAAGTGAAACTGTTAAAAGTCAATGTTTTGCACGAATATGACACTTTGATAGTAAAGCATATAAATATTAAACCCTATACTAATATATATACACATTAAACCATCTCAAAAATATCAACTATTCAGCAAACAAGTTGATTATTAAAAATCCATTCCAAATTTTCGTATACATAATACAGTATGTTCAGGCTAGAGTAGAAATTAGAATTAGACACCTACTACTACTAGTACTTATAGTTTCAGTAGTATAAATAACTTTTTAAGAATGAGGATAACCGATAAGGCAGTACTTACCTTTGCTATAAGCAAACTTAAAATTGTTACAATACAACTTAAGAAAGCAAAGGCGTAGAGTATCGTACTTGTCACAAGTTGTATGTGAAAAGCCATTTCTTCGTTCTTAAGCGACAACCATGAACTTCTCAAACTGTACACACTCATAAACAACCACACAAAAAAACTTTGTAAAACGACTCGATTTAACGCAACTTATACACCGCCATCTAGCGGTAGATGCATTAGCTTGATATTAAACATATGCTGAAGTACTTTTTCTTTGTTTTCGTGTTTAGTACGACAGCTTCGCAACCTATTGATAGTTCTTGTGTGTACTTATTAATGTACTAACCCCCCAATGGCGCAGTGGTATGTCAGCGGACTTCCAACGCTAGAAACCGGGTTTCGATATCCGTGGTGGGCAGAGCATAGATAGCCCATTGTGTAATTCTGTGCTTAATTCCAAACCAGACAAAATTAGAGTACTAATTTTTTATAAAGATGGCATTTTCAGAATTTAAAGTACTCTATTTTACATGTAATCCTACTATTATTTAAGAAACGATTGTTTATTTGTGTGTATTTATTTGTCTTTTAATTCCTCCTGGGCTTTCGCATTTGGACCTGTCAAATATGATTTAATCTACTAGGAATGGTTTAAAATGTATCAAGCAGTTATTTTTCTTTAAAATCCATAGATTTCATAGCTCCAGTGCTGACTAAATATAGATCAGTCGAGGGGTGGCCACTAGGTGTACTGATGAGATTTCTCCAGTTTTTTCTTTGATTACATTGGATATACATACAATATACGTACTTTCAGTCATCACTGCCATATTTAGAACAATAAAAAACTATTTATATTAATTACTGGTAAAACATTAATTCTACAATTGCATTTCGTTTTCTAATCCCGTCAATCATTTGAGGGATTTCTTTTTCACACATTGTTTGTACATATTTTCAAGTTAGGCACACATGTATGTTTTTTTAAGTCAGATGTTACTTATTGCCTTGATTAAAAAAAAATTAAATTCGGAAATAAAATGTTATTTAAATAATATAACCCAGTGGACATGAATAATTTTATTATTGTGTTCTTTATTTTTTTTTATTGCTACTGGCATATTTCGAAATAAAAATAATTCATAAACCTGTCACTGAGCATCGCACGGATACATCTACTAGTATCTAAAAAATATTCTTTTATGAAAACATGCTTTCTTATAATATTTATTTCATCATGCAAAAATACAATACCGTATGAAATATGTATGTATATTGTTATATAAGAATAAAATTGTGCTGTTGTTAAAATGATTTTACGAAGTATAGCAAAAATAGTGTGTTTGACATGTTATCAGTAGTGACCAGAGCCGACCCGTTGCGGTAGGAGTGAAAATGTTTCCGGAAGGAAACAGGGACAACCATTTATTTTTAAACCATTTTATTTTTAATAATATGTTATTATTAAACAGACATTACAAGAGAGGCAACTCAAATATATGGCTTCTTTCTATAAACATAAATCAAAAATGAAAACTTTTAT